CTAACTAGTTTTGGATCCTGGACTTGGATCCAGGTTAATTTCCCACTGATCAAATCAATGTCTTAATTAGACTTTTTAGCTTTATTTCTCATGTTGATTTTTAAAAAAAATATTTGTACAGAACTGTGGGTATGAAATTGTTTAATTCAATGAAATCATGTCTAAAAAAATATATCTGTACGGTGCTCCGCCCACTCCTCCTGTCAATCACATCTGATAAGGCTAGCTCCCAGAAAAGCGTCAGCGTTTTTTTGTTTGTTTGTTTTTTAACTCTGCAGTGTAAGCACTGATTGGCTGATTTTGGTTCTCACCTGATTGACAGCCCGTGTTCAAAAATATCACAAATCTGAAAATGCACTCCATCTGTACAGAAGAAAATGTTCTCGTAAGACCTGGTCTTAAAGGAAGAGCATCACGTCCTATTAAGAAAATGAATCCATCTCTATCTACATCTAAATAAATTATGATGGATTCGTGGGTTAAGGAGGCGGAGCCTGCATTAACACGCACAGATTCTTCTGATTGTTTTTGCTTTGTTTAACGGTGTTTTCTGTTTATTCTTTTGATTGTTTTTAAAAGAAATCGTCTAAAAAGGGTTTAAATCAACACGATCTGATTTCGTTTCTGATCGCATATTTAATACTAATTCACAAATCTTTAATCTGAAATTATATAAAAGGTTTCTCGAGGTTGAGTGTGTCTTCTGGTTTATATTCTGTGTTTGTCTGCACGTCAGCGGAGAGTCACGAGTTTTTATTATTTTAAGTTTTTTGTTGTTGTTTGTTTTAAACTGTGGACCAGAAGTTTTCATGTTCTTTTTGTGTTTGCGCCCCCACCTGATGACTGCTGGGATTAGCGACCTCCCCCCTACATCCCCGAGAAGGAGTCAGGTTTAAAAGATCAGCGTATGAATCATCAGTGAAGGAAAAAAGATCAGTAAAGTAAAAAAAAAGACCTGAAACTAAAACAGAATCATTTCCCCCCCTTACTAAGTTTGGCGCCGCCAGACGCCCCCTACTGGAGTAATCTGCTTCTTCACCCAGGATTCACTTTTACATTCGGTGTAAAATTCTGTCAAGTTACACATATTTAAAAAACAAAAACGAAAAGAAAAGTTTATTACAAATATAAGGCTAACAAAACAACTCTGACGGTAGTAACTTAGTAAATAACCATTTGTACAGGTTTTACCTAAACCTATCGGAAGTTGTGTTTTAATATTGGCGGAAGTCGGTTTGTTGTTTCCGTTCAGTCTCATGGCCGCAGCGAGCATTCAAACTTCAGGTCCGTGGTTGCTGCTCCTGCAGCTGCTGCTGTTCCAAAGTCTTCCATGCGACGCCGGGGACAGCCGTCACAACGACACCAGCGGGGACAGCCGGTGAGTGCCACTGTTTGCTGACAAAAGCTGTGAACGTAGAAAAGAAAAACTCAGTGAGTCCACTTTGGTTGTCACTGCTGTCAACGTTGTCCACAGCTCAGCCACGGATGTTGTATTTTGTTAAGTTACTTATTGTTTGTTTTAAAATAATTAAATAATTAAAAATAATAATAACAATAATGTCGACACTTATAGACGCTGTTTCAATGTTTTTACTACGTCATGTCGTTATTTAGTTAGACTACTATTTAAAGTATTTAAAAAAACAAAACCAGTTCCTCTTCTGTCGAGTCTGACCAGTTGTAGAATGTCACCGGACGTGACATGCCGGTACGGATTTTGTGTTTTTTTTTTTTTTTTTTTAGTATTATTGAACACTATATTGTTTATATATAATATAAAGAGAACTGTTTTAAAAATCAAACCCAAATATTTTCTTTGCCCTTAAATAACGTGGAGTGATTTTTAACAAGAGTTGGAGTTTACTTTAAAAGTTAATGAAAATTCACTTAACCTTTCTTTTTTTGTTTTGTTTTGACAAACACAAGACTTTTACATCACATCTTATTCTCTCTCTCTCTCTCTCCCTCTCCCTCAGTGAATCCATGTATAATCACTTTCTGCAAGTGCAGGATCACAGTCACGACCCCGCTCATCCCGACCGCCACACCCCAGACTGTCAGCCCGTTATCCATGGCACCGGCAGCTATGAGAGCTGGCCTGGCAGTAACCATAGCAACGTACCTGTGGCCGACTCCCTGCTCTTTGTGACCGACATTCCAGAAGAATCGAAATACGTTTATGGTAAGAATTTAAAGCTGTGGGTCCATACAGAAAATCTGTGATTGTAGCTCGTGAAAACAGATGAGTTGCTGGTCCGCTGCTGCCTCATGTGTTCAGTTTTATGTCACAAACAAAACTGAACGAAGGATTTCACATTAGATTATGATGTGGGAGAAAAGGGTGTTTACAGAAAATGTGTGTGTTTGTTTACAGGACGTCTGACGCGGGTGCATGACCCACTGAGGACCGTCTCGGTGTTGGAGCCGGGCGGGCCGGGCGGCTGCGGGATGAACCTCATGGTCTCAGTGGAGGAAACAGCCCAGGCCGCCGGGTGTTTATACGCCCAGAATGCCGGCTTCTTCCACGTGGACACTAGGCAGTGTTTAGGCAACATTATCAGCAACGGACAGATGGTGCAGGAGAGCAACGGCGTACAGAATGCCCAGTTTGGAATCAGGAAAGACGGCACCCTGGTGTTCGGGTCAGAGAACAGCGTCTCGGAACCTTTAATCAGACCAACGTTGGCTCTTACTGTTGCTAATTTGGCATCATCGGTCTAACATCTGGGGGCCCAACGTTCTGGCCCTTGTTCTTTCCTGCAGGTATCTGTCTGAGGAGGATGTGATGGACCAGTCAAACCCATTTGTCCAGCTTGTGACGGGCGTGGTGTGGCTCCTGAGGAACCGTGAAGTTTACATCAACCAAAGTCTGGAGGCGGAGTGTGACAAGACTCAGGAGACAGGTTTGTGTGTGGAACTGAAGAACATGTTGGAGATGCTGGAAGAAATTGTTTCAAATTAGAGTCGGACTGTCGCTGAGTGAGGAGCAGAGAGTATGTTTTATTCTTTATGTTTGACAAGCTAAGTGTGTGCTTTTTAAAAACTAAAAACCCGTTCACAGGTTCACTGAGCACATTTGTGAACGTGTTGTCGGCTCGAACAGCAGTGGGTCACGATGCTGAAGGAAAACTGGTTCTGTTTCACTGTGAAGGACAAACGGGGGTCAGAGGGTGAGGACACAACGCACTGAGTTCATCTCATATTTATATTCACGAGAGACAAAGTAAAACAGTAATTTGTCTGAAGTCAATGACCAGGAAGTCTGCTCAACAAGGTTATACAAGATTGTAAATGAACTATATAAAAGTAGGGGGCGCTCACAGTGCAATCAGTGCTTCTATGTGTCATTACCTCACATAGTCACACCTAAAATAGTGACTTGGTTCTGGTCCGTATAGGATGAGTTTGTGGGAGGTTGCAGAGTTTCTGAAGAATTATGGAGTGATCAATGCCATAAACCTGGACGGAGGCGGTTCATCCACCTTCGTGATTAATGGAACTTTGGCGAGTTATCCCACAGATCACTGGTGAGCAAAAGAACAGGAAACCATCACTAAATAAACGTCTCGACCTCTGCAGGATTATTGAGTTTAAATGAAATGTTCTCTTTTGTTTTTCTTCTGTTTTAGTGCTTCAGACGGCAGGTGGCGCTGCGGCCGGCGCGTCTCCACCATCCTGTGTGTGCATCCACGTCGCTGTCAGCCACCAGACTGCAGCGGACACGGTGACTGTGTGGACGGACGCTGTCAGTGTCAGCGTGGCTGGGAGGGCGTGGCCTGTGATGCTCTGACGTGTCAGCCGTCAGAATGCGGCGCACACGGCGTCTGCACGGCAGGTACTACGCAGGAGGGATCGTTAATCTCTTGGCCAATCCTGTGTCTTTTCTTTAAAGTTAATTAATATACACACTGACATCACTTTCCGACAGACAGTGGAACCCAGTGAGTCACAGGTTTACATTCACTGTTGACGTTGTTGTTGCAGACGGTTGTTTGTGCGACGCGGGATGGCAGGGACAGAACTGCAGCCAAGGTACGACGGGGAAACGTGGTTTATAAAAACCAGATTATCGTGTCTTTAATCTTCTATAATGGACCTCAGATTAACAGATTACCTCACCTTTTCACCCAGAGTGCCTCCCTGGTTTCTATGGTGACAACTGCAAACAAAGGTGCACGTGTGCTAACGGGGCTTCCTGTGACAACGTGCACGGACGCTGCTTCTGTCCTCCCGGTTTCCATGGAGATTTTTGTGAAAAAGGTAAGGCTGCCGTCCACGTTTCATCAGTGGCAATAATCTGATCTGATCCAGTTCAGTCCAATCTGGTCTAGTCCACATCGGTCAGATGACTTTCAAAGGATTTCTAATGTGGTTTTGGTCTGTGTGTTTGTGTCCAGTTTGTCCTCTGGGATTCTTTGGGATTTCTTGTTCTCAGAAGTGTGTGTGTGATTATCAGTGTCTGTGTGACGCACAGACAGGAAGCTGTAACAATACGCAGCAGCCAGACTACAACCACACAGGTATACACACACAGAGCGCCCCCTGCAGCCTTTGACCACTTAAACTCTGAACACCTCCTTTTCCTCCTCCTCTTGTCTGTAGCTGTTCAGTGTTTGGTCAATCAGATGAAGAAGTCATGGAGAAGACAGGATGAGGAAGGTCACAGAGGTCAGACAGAGCCGCCTTACCTGTCAGAGTGAGTCACAGAGCTCCACCTCCTCACTTCTCTCTTTTGTATTTTTAACTAACTTTTGCACAAAATTGAAAAAAAAAATTATCTTCAGCCGGGAAGGAAATGACCAACAGTCAGCTTAGATACCAAGTGGTTGAGGAGGTCTGCACTAATTAATCTGAAGCTCCGCCTTCTTTCTCCCTGCAGACGTTGGTGGCTTGTTATCACCCTGACTCTCACGTCTTTACTGTCCCTCAGTCTCCTCCTCCACTTCCTAAAACAACCAGCCTGTCCTGGTTTGGCCGCCGTCCACCTCGCCAAACGTCAGGATTACTCCTACATCCCACTGGGAGACATCAGTGAAGCAGCTTCACGGGCTGAAGCCCACATGAACGAGTCCAGGACTCTGGGCGAGGAGATGGAAGACTCAGACCCTGAGGAAGAAATCAGGTTGTAGTGGTGCAGAAGGACATCGTAGTTAAGGGGAGGGGTGCTGTTTCTGCTCGGCAGGGCGTTAAAGCAGGAACGGTGCTGTTGTCACTGACAGACATCAGTGTCTTCACTGAACTTTGAACTCTTTAATCTCAGGTCCATACTAACAAAAGCATTAACATCCAGCTGTATATCAGGGGTCAACACGAGCCTTGGTCGTAACACAGCTTCTGATGGTGAAGCAGCAGAGAAGACGTCCAGGTATTATAATCATCTTTTAATTCCAGTGATTTGTCTAATCCTCATTTTAATGCCAAAATACTGGAATTAAAAAGAAAATGTTGTCCTGAAAAATATTTTATTAAAAAAAAAGTTGGTTGTCTTAGGATATGATTCTTGTTGGTGCAAGAATATACAGTGGTATACACACACAGCAACTGTTTTTTGTTTTTTGTGTTTTTTTTTTTTTATCTTTTATTCTTAAAGGCTTTGACATGAAGTAATGGATTAATGTCCTGAGGACAAATCTCCATGTGCTGCTGGTGTTTGATGACTTATATATGTATATATTTATAAATATATATTGTATATATTATATATATGTATATATTTATATGTATGTATGTATGTATATATATATATAT